GTCACCCAATACATATGGGTGACGTGCGATCACGTTTTAAAATCAGTGTATTTTTCAAATATGTGCCATTTACAGACCATTTGTGTTTTTGATTTGATTTTTATAGGTTGTCTTTAGTACCTGAATACCTTTGAAGCTGGCACAGAATTTTAATACAATAGTAATAAATTTTCCTAATTTTTTATGTAAAATTTTTATTAAATTTAACGAGACTTTTAAGAAAAGTACCGAGTAATACCTCTGTGATTTTTTGTATATTAATTTTGAACATATAAATCTTCATATTAATGTCAAATTTAACTGCTCAAATTTGCTCAAAATGAAGAAAATTGTCAAAATCATTATTGACGCGTTCAGTATTCTAGCATCCTACCCTACTATTGTACGTGTTATTCAATTTTTTTATTACTTATATCGTTATTTAACTACCTAATGAAAGTTACAAAACAAAAATAAAAGAGAAATTTTGAACGTATGTACATATACAAAGTTATGATATTTGTCTTTTAAACTCCTGGTATACGAAACGGCCGCTACGATTTTGCCGGTATTTCCGCGAAGCTGATGAACAAATTTTTCAAACAATAGTTAATCAGTATTCAGTTGACAATAAATCGTGTTAATGAAAATTTACAAAAAAGTTTTTATTCGATAAAAAATATAGATCGCTACAATTTTTTTAAATGAAACCATATATTTTTTTATGTGCTAATCAATGCATATTTGAATTCTCTTCAAAAAAGTATTAGAGAACTTAGGTCTAAAATTGATTAATTTAGAAGTTACGATTTTTGTCCCGAACGCCTATATACTCGCAACACTGCGTCGCAACCGAGATTCAAGGGAATTTCCTGATTATTACTCATGCGCTCAGGTTGCTCGAGCGTCACGTGGCGACGTAGATTATTGCCGAAAAAAGCCGAACAGGCCTTGCACACGGACAGAGCTACCTCTACACTTGGTGAGAGCACGAGGACGGTATAGTGGGAGATGGCGGTAGGTCATAGTGGGGGTAACTGCTTTCGCCCACGGCCCACGATTTTTGCATCATATTTATGATGCAATTTATGCAGGTAAAAGTTACCATTGAATGATGCAACAAGACTTTTTTTTATCATCAATGTCAATATTTTTACCAATTTTTAGCAAATTATATAAAAAAGGATAAAAGAGGGAACATATATACCTAATTTTTAGCTGTGTTTAAATAGCTCTTTATGAAATTTATTTTTTAAATGCTAAATTTATGAAAAAAATTGTAATGAAAGATAAATAAATATTTATCACTTTGAAATATGTATTTTGCTATTTATTAAAAATAAAAGTTTTAGTATGGAAATCTAAATTTATTATTCCTTATTATTTTCCTAAACTTTTAATTTAAATTATGTACTTTCAATTCAATAACTTTCGTTGTAGAATTTTAGATTGACTGACATGTAGATGTGTTTTTCTATATTCACAAAGTATATTTTGGAGAGTAAAAATTATAATCGCTGTTTTGCAATTTCTTTATAAATGATGTACTTTTTATTGATATTTTGTATTACATATTTGTATAAATAAGTTTACATGCGCGTAACTGGTTTTAAGCCTAATATCATAAAGCATTTTTCCATTATGATTGCAGTAGCTTCGGTTAATAACATACGGTCAATGTTTATATTTATTATTTGTCCATATTCATTCTTTTCAACACAATAGCAGTTATCATAAAATTCCGAAAAGGCGCACGACATTTCGTAACAATATTCGCATAACTGATGTAAGTACAAATCCTTTGTAATTTTAATTAATACATCAGGAAATTTTATTAATACTTTTGCTAATTTCCACTCCTTCTCATGTTCCAATGAAATTTGAGTATTCTGTGCCAATTCTTGCAATTTCTCTTGTGACATGTTGGCTGCTCTTGCAATAGAGCGTATTCTTGTTAGAGCATACAGCAAATATACTGCTGTGTTGCCTTTATCTTCTAACATTTTGTCAAAAGAAAACACGTATTCGTGATTTCTATTGTGTGATAAATCTGCGTATTTTATACATCCATAAGCAATAGATTCTTGAGCAAGTTTTAATTCCTCCTCCGTGAGTTCTTTGTCACGTCCCTTCTCTTTTAATTTCTGAAGTGCTCTTTTCAAACCTTAAACAACAGGCAACAGTTTGAAAAATAATTGTATTAGCTATGATATTTACTGGTATATCAAAAATTACCTTCATCTAGTAAATCACTTAATTTTACCGTATCACCGGATCTAGTTTTAAATTTCCTTTTATCGCTACCAAGAACTACACCAAATCCAACATGGTCTATTCTATGGCAACTTCTTAATATTCCTGCTCGTTCAGCACAACTTTTCAATATTTGAAAATGCTGAGATTGTCCAGAATCTGTTACATATATTATCTGTAAAAGTATAATATATTAAGAAATAACGACAGAACAGTTAATTAAATCATAATATCCAAAAGTATGCAAGAAGTACCCAATCAGCTTCTTCCTCCTCAATACGTTGTTTAATAGCTGCTAAATCTGATGTATCATATGTAAAACCACCATCAGATTTTACAATAGTTAAAGGTATTTCATTATCTCGTTTGCCCCACATAACTTTTCGTCCTTCATCTTCTTCTAATAGTCCTCTTGCTTCTAGAGTTTTAACTAAAGCTTCCATATGTTTCTGATAAAAAGATTCTCCCCTTTCTATTAAATTAATGTCTAGTCGAGTATACACCTTTTCGAATTCTAAATTTGAAGCATATGTATTTTACATTAAAACTGTAATGATTTATTTTTTTTAATTTTATGGTATAGATTACATTACCTTTTCTAGAAACATCACAAATTAATTGCCATGCTTTTGTCATATCAGGATCAAATGCTTGTAACTTGACAACATACTGATAAGCACGTTTTTTAAATTCTTCACATTTATCAAATCTTATTTTTGATTCTTTATAGAAACTCTACAATTTTTATAATAAATTATTATACTTTGTAATACATAATTATAGTGCAATACATAGTAGAATGTATCATAAACGAAATGTATTAAAATTACTTGAAGGTCTGTAATAGGTGGAGATACAGTTAAGTAGTTAGGAAATCTGTCTTGAAGATGAGCTATTAACATTCCAAACTGAGTGCCCCAATCACCAACATGATTTATTCTTAATACATCGTGCCCTAAAAACTCTAACAGCCTTGAAATACTGTCGCCAATTATAGTAGATCTTAGATGTCCAACATGCATTTCTTTAGCAATGTTCGGACTGGAGAAGTCTACAATCACTCTCTGCCTTTTTGCATATGGTGGAAATGCCTTTCCACTTTTTACTAAGTTACTTAAAGTTGTTTGTGCAAATTCTTTTTTTAAATGTATATTTATAAAACCTGCATTAGCAACTTCTAATTTAGATATTAAGCTTGATTTTTCTACTTTTGATATTATATTATTTGCAATATCCCTTGGCGTTGTTTGAATACCTGTATAAGTACAAAAATATATATACTATGTTCAACAGATATAAAAACTGTTTGAAATTATAATTATAATTCAATATTGTTTCTTACCATTGCTACTAAGTTGTTTACAAAGTGGCATAGCACTGTTACATTGATAATCTCCAAATTTTGGGTTAGAACTAGATGTTACAATTATTGGAGGATCACAAATATCTGGATAAGTAGTTAAAATTGCTTTTTGAAATATATTAAATAATGTTTCATATACACTGATTACGTTATTTTCTGTTACTTCCATTTCATTTTGTGATTTTGCTCTTTCAGCTTCAATAGTCTGTTTAAATGAAATAAGAATATAATTACATATTCATGAAAAAATTAAAAATAAGGTTTAAAATAAGTACAAACTTTAAAATTATTCTGAATGAGCTTAACGATTATAAATAAAAATAGTTATTGAAACATACTCTTTTTAGAATAGTCACTCTGTATTTCAATTTTATATTTTCTTGTTCCAATTTTACATATTCATCTTTCGGTACAGAATTTATTTTACAGTTATTAGCCTTAATATCTTGCCGTAAACATTCGATTTCTTTCTTTAAAAAAACTATTTCTTCTTCCTGCAATTCATATGTACAAATATTATAACCTCAAAGAATTATCTGACAACCTCAAAAATTATATTTTCATGAATTTGTTCAATGTTTAAACATCAAATACAAATCAATGATACAATTTACCGCTGCAGCTGCTCTTTTGTGGAAATTTTCTAAATTTATTGTAGACATTATGTCAGAAACTTTCGATGATTATACAGAACTAATGCACGTGGATTTTTCAAAAAACTTTACGTCTGTACCATTGGATGGAAAATTGGATGCAATTGTATATTTAGAATAAATTAATAATGTAAATAGTACGTAATAAAATCAAATGTAAAAAGGGGTTTTTAGAATTGAGTACTCGCAATTCTAAGCACCTACGTATAGGTACATGCATATGCATAGGTTATATGCAATTTAAATCAGCGCGCGTTTATTTGTACACTCCAGATATTTTTCATTATTTTTTTAAATATCT